TGAAATGGTCTCTGTATGAAATACTCGACATTTAAAAGCTTCTTTGTGTGATGGCCATCCACCCTTGGGTTTATGTGGCTTTTACTATGATACCCCATTAGAGGTATTGTTTGTTCTTTTATTCACATTCATTCAGTGCAGATGTGGGTGAAGGGGCTGACACAGACATTTGACTTGTTTCATTTGTTCCCGTCTATGCTTCCCAGAGTGTATAGAAGATCAGGGAGGTGAAGGAAGGGTAAGGACAAAGTACTGGTATGAAACCCTGGACAGAAATTTCTCAAGAAACAGCAAGTGGCAAAAGCTGAACTAGGGTTCAAGACAAATTCTCCCTTAAATATTTTCAAATAAAACTTCTAATTCCAGATTTTTTTAATTTCTGAAATCTCACTGGATTATGAATACAGAAATTTCCAGATATTTTTTCCATCTCCAGTTTAGTCTTAACCAAACTTAATTGAAGCTGTTTGTCTCAACACCACCAAAGTCCTTTATTATTTGAGTGCATAATATGGGGCCTCAGGGAGAGTTTACAAGATTCTAAATCTCAGATCTGTGGACATACATCAATGCCTAACTCTTGTACTTCAAAGGAACCTTATCTGGCATAGCATGTGGTTTGAAGATGGTGGAACAATGTCCAACAAGAAATTTAAAGCTCTCTACTTCACAGTGGAGATGTCTAGACACCAACATTGACCTACCAAAGGAAGACATTTGATTTAAAGCAGCATGTGTGTGAAAAGGGAAGGCAGGAAGGGAATGACAAAACATGCAGCATAAAAATAAGTGAGAGGTGGCAGGGTAAAACCCAGCCAGCTTCTCTGATTTTGAGGTAGTGTAGCATAGAGGATTAGGCATTGGTATGAGATGCAGAAAAAAAACCCTTCCAAATCAGTCCAAATTGAGACCAAAACCTGACTTTTCACCTTAGAATCATGGAACAGCCTGAGTTGATAGGGATGTTCAAGATCATTTAGTTCCAATCCCTCTGTCGTGGTCAAGACACCTTCCACTAGACCTGGTGGCTCAGAGCTCCATTCAACCTGGCTTTGCACACTTCCAGGGAAGGGGTATCCACAGTTTCACTAGGCAACCTGTTCTAGTGACTCACCACCTTCACAGTAAAGATTTTTTTCCCTTAATATCTTATCTAAACCTACTCTCAGTTTGAATCCATTCCCCATTGTCCTGTCACTCCACGCTCTTGTAAATGCTCTCTCCCATCTTCTTGCAGGTTCTCTTCAGGTACTGGAAGGCTGCAGTTGGGTCACTCCAAAGCCTTTCTTCCTCAGGCTGAACAGTCTTCCCAGTCCTTTATCCAAGATGTGAGGACAGAAAAACAAGGATCAGTTGCTATCTATCTGCTAAGGTGCCATGAACTAAAAGTGTCCATATAGACACTTCTGAGCAACTGTGAACTATTTTTTGCTCTTCCATTGTCTGTAAACTGAAAATATTTGGCCCTTGTTGCTTGGTTTTTCTTTTACTCCTCCTAAAACTTACTTAAAGGATAACTCAGTGGGTAAACCTCTACAAAGATTTAGGATCAATCAGACTGTGCATTTTCTCAAACATCATCAAAAAATTCTAACCAAACTTACTTAGGAGCTTCTTTGTTATCATCCATTACTCACTGGCAAGAAAGCCTGAAGAACACTTTGCAAGTATATGAGTTTTGCTGTTTGCACGCTAAGCTGAAACCATGGACTTAATTTTCAAAAGTAATGAGTATCTACACAGGCCTGTTGATTCCAGATGGTGGAAGAACTTTGGTGGCCTTTGAAAGTGCAGGATGAAGCAACCCACAGAACACCCCAAAAAGAGGCACTGTTGAACACCACTGAAATAGCTTTCCTCCTTATTTCTAAAATTCATGCCAATGACGCTCTTCTCTAAGGGACATCTATACTGATGAGCCTAAATTCTAAAATGTAGAGAACTGCAGACAACCATGATAAAAGAGGACCAAGGAAGGCACAACAGAGCTCTCCCTTGGAAACGTGCAGTGTTATTGTGCATTATATCTTGCTGTCAACTTTACATTTCAGAACTGAGTATGACACCTCAAGCATGCCCGCTAAACCAAATTTGAATAAAAATTCATATTACAGCAGTTCTGTTACCAGGAAACTTCTATTAACGATGTCCAATTTTGCTCCAATATACATACCCTATGCTTAAGTGTATTGCAGTCTGTATTATTTCTCTGTGTGTCTGTGTGCCTGCTAAGATTTATAGTGTATAACCATTCAATTGACACTGCATTGGAAAAGAAAGCTCTGCAAATACAATGAATGTACATAAAAATCTCTCCTGTAAGAAAGCAGAGGAAAATTCTTTTTGCAATATATTGTATGTAAAGCAGATGCTCATGCTGCTTTGAATGTTTCATGGGGTTTTTGATAGCATCTAATTTGCCTGTACTCTTTACAGCATGGGTAAAAAACGTTCTTCATTTTACAAATGAAAAAGTGTCAGAGAACTAAGTCGTATGTTTGAGAATTGAGGAATTTTGCAAGTTCAGTCCCCTTGGTATTTTCAGGGAGATGCAATATAAAAAAAACCCTTAAGAAATGAAATCACGTTCACAGACTCCTTGTAATCACCTTTTCAAATCATCTTAGCTTTTCGGTTTGTGAGGTAGATAAATTTAATTTATTATGTGGGAAGGAGACTTTTAGAAAGAACTTTAGCCTCATTTCCTCTTTATGGTCACTCCTGTCTGGGCTCCTGAGCATTCTTCTGTGTTGAGGGAATTCTGTCACATGCTAAACATCCTGTTGAGTTTAGTGGGAGTGAAAAGGACTTTCATAGCCCCTTCTAAAATCAGGTTCTTTACATTTGGATCAGAGATAGATTTCAGGGCCATATCACAAATATAATTGTGCACACATACATATCTCCCTCAAAATACCTCATTACATGTCTCACCTCAGTATACCTCAGCTGGAATGACTTTCTGCATTCTGTCCTAAAAAGAGGTTTTTTTCAGATCATGTATTTATTGTTAGATGCAATGAAAATTTTAAGAGTAGATTGTAGGCAATTACCAGATGTAGTCTGCAGTTAAAATATTAGCTGTTAGGTAATTTAAGATTCCAGAAAAAAATAAATAAAAAACCCTCAACCCTTCCTGCAAAGTGCTCAGTATAAGAAGAATGAAAACTTGTCTAATACAAGTCGTATATGAGGGATACTAAAAGTCTTTCTACTGAGAAGCTGATCAGAAATACTAAGTGAAATTGTAATTTCTTCCTCTTCTAATTAACTTGATTCTCCAGGATGTCCTCATACCTTCAACAACCCTTCCATTGCACTTCATTTAAGGTATCTGTTTCCCTACTTTTGTCACCTTAGGTAGGTACAAAAGCACAGTGTACATACTTGCTTTTTAAGAAGCTGCATATCTGTCCAAAATAAAATTAATATAACAATCTCTAGCTCCAGACTGGCGGCATGATTTCAATGGTTAAATTCCAGGTTTGCACTCAGAGCACAAAGCTTCAAACCTAAGTGACAAGGGATTAATTTCTAACAAGCATGGCCCTGTTCTAAATATTAAAGTATACTACACACAGTGACAAACCGCCCAAATGCTTCATCATGCAAGAGCATCTCACTCTTTTCTTACAACTTCCCCTCGTACTGTTAGTTTTCCAACTGTTCAAATAGAAACTCTGTTTTGGTAGCAGCTTGTTGAGAGAACTCCGTGTTTTCCCAGTATGTACTTGAAGAAGATTAATGAGTCTCACTAACATGCCAAGTCAATCTGCTCCCTCCTGTCAATCAGCTCCCATAGAACAAGTATGTCTGTCTCACTGGCTATATTTTCATGCAGATACACTGCAAAAGTTTAATTAAAACACTAACGACAACTGATCATGAAATACACTCCAGAACACTATTTAAGAAATAATTGGATATGTATTAGATAAGCCTTTTTATGAAGAACTTTTCCTTCAAAGGGTCAGTGAGGACAAAGGGAAGAATAAACAATATGAATAGTTTGACAGAGTAATTCTTATGATTGAATTTTGGTTTCTGCTGTCAGCAGGTTTAGCTTATTGTAAAAAATGATATCGACTTGCAACATCCTACTTGACTATTGTCCAAGAATAAATAATTTACATTTAAAAAGAAGTACAGTATTGCTTTTAGCTTGACAGCCCGGGGAGGAGGGAGAAGGAGAAATTTTGCAAGTTAGGAAAGCAGATGATAATTTTTGCAAGACTGACTTTTCATGTCAGCCAGCAATAAGGTATCAGCCCATTCTATTATATCCATTTTTAAAGAAAGAAATGAAGAAACAACATGGGAGTTTCTAATTCTTTTGATTTCTGTGGAGTTCCAGTGTTTGGAAGACGCTGGCATCACTGGTGCAAGTGAGAAACTGTGGAGTAGTACAGTGTTGCCTACCCTACATTACACAAAATCTGGATAAGTGTAGACTTCGAGTCTCAAACAGATAAATCTGACATATTCCAGGTTAACTATGAGTCATGCAGAACATGGATAAATTAGCCAGCACAGTTAGAGCTGATGTGGTGATGGGAACAGTCCTTTGAGAAGGTTGTAATGGGAGGCAGGGGAACAGCCAAGGGGAAGCCAGGCACGTTAGGGGAAAAAAACTAAAGGACTGTAGCAGAAGCAAAGACAAAGATGAAAAGTCATCTGTGGAAGACTGATGACCACTTGAAGAGGACAAAACCCTGAAATTCTGACACCCAATTCTACTTTTATTACTCAAGTTTTCCAGTGATTAAGTGCTATTCTCAAAACACAAAATTAGAATAAATATGTAGGATGAAAAACATATGTGTGTATATATATATATGTATGTATATTTCTAGAATAGACTGTTAATAAGTGTAATTTCTCTTGTCCGCTGAAGTAGGTCAGCTTCTAATCTGGTTTCTAGATAGAAAAATTATCCAAACGGAATGAAAATTCAGTAGGACCCAGAAAAACATAAAGAGTTAAAGCACCTCAGACACTTCTACACCTGAAACACATTTATTTTTTCATAAACAGCAAATGTAGGTGAATTGATCTAATATGAGAACATTAAGAACAAGGAATGATTACACTTGCAGAGGTAGTACATCACTGAGGGAAAAATAACAGCAGTCACATGCCCTGTTTTAGAGACTATACATGGAGTCTCTGAGTAGTCACTGGAAGAGGAGTCGGAGTACCCCATCCTTTCTAGTGGTTGAAGGCATAACCAAAATATTGAAAAAAGTTTCAGTGGACAAAATTCCTGCAGGGTCATGGGGCTTTGTCCTTTACCATGGCAGCTGCTGGTAGCAGCTCTGGCACTGTCCAGTTGCTTTTCTGTTCTTTTTTCTCTTACATTTATAGGCCAAGAACTTCTGATAGACCCAGTGTGTTGTCAGTGGACTTTATTAGGTTGATCCTCATAGTTCTTCTGGATGCAGTTCTCACTTTAGTCCTCTAGTTGTCTTCCAGTTTCTCTGCCATATCATCTGCTTTTGGTCCATTTGAGCAGGTGGAACTTGTTTGGAACATGCACAGTGAAAGCCTCCTGGATCAATGTCTCTCTATATAGCTCTGAGAAGAAAACCAAATTAACAATCATCTAATTCATTTGCACGATCAGAAGGACAGAAGATAATACCCCACATCATCAGTATGCACACATGGACTACTGAGACATTTACCCACAGGTCAGATTTTGTAACTATGGGGCCCAAACCTGATTGCCTTACCTTGGAGATCAAAGAAAGAACAGGACATCAGAAAGCTAAGAGTAGATATCTGAAAGTCTACCAGAAATGGCCAAGAACTTCTGGCATTTTGGTAATCTATAGGTTATGCTTTGGGGGATGGAGCAGGGAGTGATGGAGCTGATCTGCTTTTGTGGTATGAATATATTATTTCAGGAAGAATCCATAAGAGATGAGGGTGAAACTGTGCTCCTGCCTCTCTTACACCCAGCAATGTTGTGCTGTTACCATCTCACTGCTCAGTTGCTTAGTAAAACTGCTGTCCAGTGAGGGTGCTATGCAGAAGTATTTCCAGACTTCAGGACTAATCTGGATCCTACCATAGAAAAGTTATGTAAAGGAACAAGAAAAATGGACATTCCTACTACTGTTCACTATCAGACCTGGGAATGTCAGCAGAAGATGGAGTTGTGCTGAAAGAGGTACATGAGTGGAGTCTAGACAGAGGGGAGAGAAATGGGGGTAAGAAAGGGTGGCTGCTGCTGTGTATTACTGAGCAAAGATCTAAATCTGCAGTTAATTGACTTCACAGACTTTTGGAACACAGGTTTCCACCTGTTAGGAGCTCTGGAGGTGGCCCAGTTCAGACATATATGTGGTGTTGGGAAAGGGCATTGCAGTCTGGTGTGTGGGGGGCTGGTAAAGCTGGGCAGTAACATTTCTAGTCATGATACAGTTGCTTACTTGGAGAACTTCCACCTGGCTTCGTTGATGCCCCTCTGTTGCCCAGTGAAATGAAGTTTGTGATTTTAAGTAGTTAGAGGTCCACAGCAAGCTGGAAAAGGCATCAGTTCCTGAAGTGATGGTGAGAAGATTTAAGACGAAAGGGAATATACTGCTGGTGGAGCTGCCATGCCCAGAGAGCCACATATGTCATCTGGATCCATGTGCCTCCCACTCATATGCCCCCTCTTCATGTCCCCTCTACTAGAATGTACTCACCAGAGCAATCTCTTAGGCTGTGGAAGAGGTCTGGCTGTGCCTGGAGAGGTCTGGGAAGATCATGTCCTGGACAATGCCACCAGATCCAAGTTTGGAAGCGGGATGAGCCTGAGGTGTGTTGAAGATCCCTTGATGAGGTGGCCCTGGGACTTCTGTTGGACACTCAGCTCTGCCGTGCTGACAAGAGTCTGTGAAAACTTAAGCACTCCCCCGTGTCAGCCATGAAAATATCTTGTGAAAGCCACCTTAAAAGGAAAAGTGTATCTCACAGCCAAAATTGGCTCAGTCCTTTCTCTGAGAGTAAATCTTTCTTCATCTTTTGCTTTTGAACTGAGCACTGTTCTGCTGATAGAATCTTCAGTCTGGCTTCTCAAAGTAATGTTTAGTTTTCCAGAGAGCTTTTCCATTGGTCTTCTCAGACAGAACCCCACACCATGGTTCCAAGGGCCAACCTCAGTCCTTTCTCGTGACCTGCTGTAGCTGTAACAGTGGGTGGAGAGTTCCTTTCGCAATTACAGTTCTATGGGTTTCCCTTTCCCCATCCTCGACGTGGGGGAGCCCAGCTCTAGTTCCTTCTCCGCCTGAAGAACCATTTCCGACGTCTTGTGGGACGGGGAAGGGGAACTCCAGAAACAGGGTTTTTCAGGCCCCGAGCCTGGAGGGGAGAGGTGCCCTCCCCTCCCCCCACCGCCCACGTGGCTCCATGGCAGGCACAGAGACAGCACACCGGCGTGGAGAGGAGGCAAGAGAGAGTTTATTGTTGGGAAGGGGTTTATAAGGCTTTTAGGAGGGTCAAAGGGGAACCAATCACGAGTTCAGGGTCACACAAAAGAAACCATCAGGTAAAGGGTTAACAGCCAATAGGAAGGGGTTAACAAAGGACCAATGGGACACCTCGGGACATCTTTCCCAGGACACTCCTGCATGGGAGATAACAGTTGCTGTGGGGGGTGTTGGGAAGAAGAAACACGTGTTTGCAAAGGGACCACAAAGAGCCATTTTAAGACATGTTTAAACAAGTTTCTCATCAGGTATAGTGCTACACAGTTCTTTTGTAGAGGTCTGCTGAAAGTAGGTAGCCTTGTGATGGGGGGACTGACAGAGCAAGAGAAGTTGTGATGCTGCTGTTACATCTACAGGACATGTAAAGACAGAGCCTGAGAGTAATGACCCCACCATGAAGAACTTATCCTCTCAACTTGCCTACCTAGGACACTGTGGGTTCGGAATGGAAAGCAAGAAATTGGGGTGTGGACTGTAGTGCAAACTGAAACTTAAATGTGTGAATGGCTTATACACGATTTATTTTACTTGAGAACTTGGAGGTGTGTGTCCATGGGGAACAACAAAGTGTTGTGTCCACGGGGAGCGACAAAGAGTTGTCTCTTCAGATGTCCGAGGCTGCCAAGGAAAACCTTAGAAGGAGCTGCAGAGTCCACAGCACTTTGCTGAATCCAGCAAGGGAGCAGTTTCCCTCCTGCAAGGTTCCCAGGACTAATTTGACTAGAAGAATTCTTCTCTCCAAGGTTTTAGTTCACCTATTTCCTTTAATATGAGCCGTAAAAACTTCTCTTACTGAGGGTAGAATGACATTTCATGAGTTTATTATGTAGGTGTATGTATATATTTCTTCACTGAAGTTTCAAGTAGGACATCCTGAGAAAAGTCTTAAGAAAATTTGGTTCATTTGGTCTTTTTTTTTTTTTTTTTTTAATATTTTTGATGCTTTAAACTGGGGCTTTTGCTGGCAACGCAGGAAATGCTCATATTGAAAATAATGCCCGAGGCACAGATCATTAAAAATGTCATATACATGAATAAAGAGCTTGATAATTTAATTGTGGTATTGAATAACTGTGGATGCCCAACCCACACCTATATAAAATACATGTTTGTGTTGCACAGTGTGGTTAGGATATGTCTAGATATCTGGTATGCTATTTTAAAGTATAAACTGTTCTTTAAATTGTTGATTATATCCCTAGGCAGGTGCTAATGAATTAATAGAACTTGTTGATTGGTAAAAAATAATTGTGAGTACAAGTTTGCACAGTGTTGCCAAACTTAAATATTTGCCTGAAAGGTAGTAAGTTTTAAATGAGTGAGTTAAAAAACATAAAATATAAAGTATAATATGAAAAAAACTAGGAAATCTAATTTAGCATTAAATTCATAAAATATTCATTTTCTGGGAAAATGAACCCTTTTTGTGCTCACATTATTCAACAGGGGAAGGACAGGTGTTTCTCAGTCATATAGCAGGTCATAAGAAGTATCCACTTCTCATCCCCAAACTGGTTCTCATTCTTCCTGGAAGACACTTTTTTAATAATCAAGTGAGATCAATACCTTGATTTATCTGAATAACACATTTAAGCAAGGCACAAAACTGTGATAGAAATTAATGAGGACTGACTGCAGGGGATTTTTAACATTTCATTTTTCTTTAGTGAGGTAAGAGAGGTTCTGATTAATTCTAGTTTTTCCTTCTCTGTCCTGTAACAGATCGAGTATATTAGATTGACACAAAATTACCTATTCTACTTAAAAAAAAAAAAAAGCCAGATATATTCTCCATTCACCTTACTGCATGATAAACAAGACAAAAACAATTCAGATGTGCCAGGTGCAAACTTCCTGCTGCTTTTCTGTGAAATTTAAAGACAAGACTTTAGTAAAGGCCACTCAATATATATCTGCTGAACCTAATCAGAGCAATTTTAACTCTGAAACTAGCTTTGCATGTCTGCAATGGAACAAACCTGATACCTGCTTATAGCACTCCAATGTTCCATGAGGTGTAACTTGCACAACTCTACTTGCTTAATAATTAAAGAAACGCCTCAGACTCTGTGCACATGCTCCAGCAGGAATGGTGCCACTCAGAAATAAATTGCATGTCTGCTTAAGATTCTTCCCCAGCAGTATTAGAATCTGTCCAGTAAAATGATACGAACTAAATTTTCCATAGTGCTAATTTACATTGCCATTAATGAGAACACAAGTTTTAAATCACAGACATGGAAGTACTATTGTGCATCCAGCTTATTTCAGCTCCACTCAGGGTGATAAGGTATTCTCTAGACAATTGTAATTATGAGTAATTTGTAAAAGTAATAAGAACTGCTTTTTATTACAGGCAATAAAAATCAATTCTTCATTCAATTATCTTTCCTGGCTATGATATGATAGCTGCCCTGAGTGAGTGCAACAGGAAAAAAAAGCTGAGCTAGGTCCTAAGGAAAAGAGCTATTAAAGAAAAAGACAATAGCATTATTAAAAAAGAGAATCTACCAAAATTTCATCTCCATTTCAACTTCTTGTCATAAAGGCATGCTAATAAATGCCAGGTAATATTGCTATAATCCTTTTTCTTTAAGACACCAAATTCACATATATTCACATTATTTTAAACATAAGACCAATTTCATTGATTCAGTAGGATAATTCTCATGGTTAATGTGAAGTAAAAATGTAAATCTTTGTAGAATCAGGGTGGTGGTGAAGAAAAGCATTTTGCATGTGATCAGTTTCCATGCAATAAAATTTGTTGAACTCAAACATTAGCTTCAATTTTGACATGAATTAGAGCTTAAAATCACACAGACCTTGTATTTAATAATACATGAGGCTTATGCAGGAATGTTTTTAATACAAGAATGTATCTGGGGACAAGTTCCGGTTTTTGATTTGTATTTTTCTTTTTTGTTTCAAACTTTTCTATTCAATTAGAGGAGTCTAGGAAAAAAACTAGTGAATTTGCCTAAAATGATTATTTAATGAAATAATTTTGTATACTTTGGGGGTTTTTTTCATACATTTTTGGTTTCAGAGGAATGGAAATTGAGGAGCAAGTGTGCCAGATTTCATTTTGGAGGTGAAACCTCATTTTTGTTTATTATAATTTCCTCATCTGCTGGAGCTGTGAGATTTTCATGGAAGTAATAAAGTGATCCTCCCGTGCCAGAGGATTTGAGGATGAGTCACTTTACCCCACTACATTTGCTCTCCCTTCTCAATAAGAACACATGATATATTTACTTGAATTTTGATTTAGAACATCAGAAATGAAAAAAAGACTGTTTAATGGACAAACTATTCAAGGATTAGATGAATTGAAAATTTTTTGGGGAGCCTATTTTTTACAACCTCTCAAACATAAGACATCACCATTAAGACAGCAAAAATTTCTTTTTTTGTGGATATTTGGGAAGAAGGACTTTGTAGTGAAGTTTTCGCATCCTTTCCTGGAAAGAACTGTGTTAATTGGCAACCTGTGCCTATAGCAACAGAAATGCACATCCTTCAGTTACAATTTCCAACCAAGTTTTTTCTTGGGAAAAGTTCTCGAAGCACTGCTTTTAAAGGAATGTCCAATTCACAAGTAAAGAAGGAAGAAAAAAGAATCAGGGAATTCTGTATTGAACTGGAGGACAAATTTGCTGCCCACATCAGTAGATGCATCTTAGTTTCCTCTAATCCTTCACAAAATTCTAATTTCAATCAGGTAAATTTGGAATAAGACACCCATAAAACATCAGCATGAAATATTTAGGCTTTTAGAAAAAAATTAGGGTAAAATGCTGTAGTGAATAAACTATTTTTCAGAGTGTGATGTGCCCAGTTCTAATGTCAACAAGGGGTTATGCTCTCCTGCCTTCAGAAGTGAGCCTGAACAGGACTGACATAACCTAACCCCAAAACCTCTCCAATGCAAATTTACTGCCATAAAAATGGGTGCTCATTATACTGACAAGATCCAGTTTTAATATTGGCAGGTGTAATGAAATCTTCCTCTGCATCACAGTTCCAGAGCTATACCATCCTTGTTATTGCACTCCTGAAACTCTCTTAAGTGGAGAACTTGGCATTTGCATAAATTCCCTGAGGATCTATGAAGAAAATGTTTCAAGGCCCTCCAGGGCTAAGTGTGTCTGGTGAAGTATATGAATAAATCTGTCAGTTTTGAATCATTAGGAATGGATGGCTTTAGGGTTGGTTTTAAATGGGTGCCAGTATATCTCGGGGTTTTACTAAAGACAGAGGATGGGCAGGATAAGCTTATATTATTCTTCTTGTTTGGATAGGGTTAATGAGAGTGTTACCAGGGATTGTGTGGGAGTTATAGAATCACAGAATCATTTGGATTGGAAAAGACCTTTAAGATCATCAAGTCTAACTATTAACCCAGCACTGCCAAGTCCACCACTAAACCATGTCCCTAAGCTCCACATCTACAAAGTAATTTGTATGTACAAGTTAATCGTATTAACGTGGAAAAATTGACACTCAAGCAGTGTCTGCTGAATGCCATATTCATTTTTTCCCTATTTTATTGCAAGCAGTCTAGGTGGCATAAATCAGTACTGGCTCTGTTTGGATTTCTAAAATGACTAACAACTGTATCATACTATCTTTTTCCCTACGAATTAAAGATGAATCATATGGGTGGATAGAAGGCAACACTTTAAAGCACTGAGTTTAGGTATATATTATCTCAAGTGTATATGTTGTGG